AGCAACTGCAGGAGCGAGATCTGATGTCAGTCATCTAGCAACAGTTTAATACAAATATTGTATCTGGGGTGCTGGGTAATGATTTGATTTAATATTCCAGCACGCTCTTTGTCAATAGGTCTTCCACCTAATTCAAGTGAAATGAGACTACGTAGGTATTTACCTCTTTATCTGAACACTAGTTTGTATTACCCTTGCCCAACTAACTACGACTTTACATATTTGAATGGATACAGAAGAAAATACACTGTTGGGGAGATGAATTCAAACTGAAAAAGATGGCTGCTAATAGCCTCTATCATCCTGGTACGCTTTTTCATCCATTTCTATTGCAAAGTGCTTTCCTAATTATTAAGTGACGGGGATATGCTGTGAATTTGAACTTTGTCACTATCTTCTCTGCTTGCTGTTTCCGCTTGAAACTACTTGTCACAAATTGTTTCTGCACTGAGAGAGTATTAATACTGATGGAAATCTGGTATTGCATGCAGTGGTAATGAAATAGTACTTCTATGTAAGCATCTGCTGAAATCGTTGTTTTTATAAAACAGCATGTATCTTGTTTCAAACCTGGTGCTGCATTCACCTTGGCTTTCTTGATTTCTAAAAATAGATAATGTGGATCCTCATGAAATGTGGTAAGTTTGCTATTATATTTCATGGATCAGGAGCAGCAAGTTGTGACAATGGTAAAATCACCCTTTTTATGATAAACACATTGTATGTTACAAAATGCTCAGTGTGAATGAGGGCTGAAAGCAAATTTTCCTTAAAGTGACATTAAAGGACCCCCCAAGCGGGGCGGGCTTGTGATCATCGCAAGTACGATCTGCCTGTCCAAGGTAGGCAGATTGTACATTTTTTTAATTACCTTACAACCCTCGCAAGACAAATATAATAACCAAATAATAATAAGTTTAATAACCCTTTAAGCTTTGTGAATGAGGTGAAGCTCTGCTGACTTCCATCATCCAATCTTGTGAAAGCTAAAATACCGTCTTTTGGATTTTCTTTGGGCATTTTGTGGAAAAGTGCAATTTCACCACATTCAGTAAGCTAAATAAAAATTCCCTTGCAAAGTGAACAGCCTGATTTTTGCCTTTAGTAAATCAACCTCGTAATCTCAGAATCTTACACTGGTTTATAGGTTAAGACTGCCATATATAGAGGCTCTCAGTATGGGGCCCCTAATACAGCTGGAAGGACTGGCTACGCAGAAAATGGATTTAATAAATATGGCAGCCATTATTTCTTCAGTGGGGTTTTTTTTGTCTCTAACTGCTGTACAAATGTTTCCAAGCTAAATGTGTTAGGAAGAGATAACTACAGCGATTTCTTTTTTATAGGGGATCATTGCGGAGTATAATAAAATCAATGGTGTTAAAGAAGACGATGATACAGACAAGTTTAAAGAGGCGATTGTAAAGTTCCACAAGCTTTTTGGGATGCCAGATGAAGAGAAATTGGTGAATTACTATTCCTGCAGTTTCTGGAAGGGTAGAGTTCCCAGGCAAGGATGGATGTATCTGAGCATCAATCACCTTTGTTTCTATTCCTTCTTGCTGGGGAAAGAAGGTAATCTGAAAAAGTCAATATTCATTTATTTCTGGGATACTATATGTGAGATTTTATGGATCAGTGATTGTGTGCTGCTAATTGCTCTTATCTTTTTGTATTAGCGTGGTCTTTAGACTTTTGATTTTACTGTTCATCCGTTGTTTAGAGTCAGTGCAGCTACTTTGGGTGCAGCCATTTTGTGTCTATGATGCTGTACAGGGCCTGGGCAACCACCACATGAAATTATTTTTTCCTCATGAAGCTAAACATTTGAATCCTTCCCATGCACAGAAATGTTTGCATGCTTCTGATGAATAGTAGGTAAAAGCATAAATGACCTTAATAATAGGTAGAATATAGGTAAATGACTGAGTGTTATGGGCTTGGTATAATGAGAGAGAGTCCTCTGAATTGTAGAACACTTGTAACAGTAAGCGTGCCAATGCAGGGTGGCCAAGAACATCAGGTACACTTTACACTTTAATGCCAGCCCTAAAGGCTGAACATATTCATCTTCACTTTAAGTGTCAATACACCTTCGTTTTTTTTTGCTATTTATTGTTGCCAGACTTGCTTTGAAAAACTTTTTTTATTTCCTCGTTCTCTCATGGTATCCAAACCACTAGTCCCAATCTCCCCCTAGCCAGTTGCTTTGGAGGCACCCATGTGTGCATGCTCATGGCCGTGCCTGCACCAAGCTGCACCAAGCTGCACCACCCTTGCAATCACAGTTTGACTGATGACAGCATAAGGAGCCTATGGCTCCTTTGCCCTCAATACCCTCCCACACAACCAGGAAGTTTGGGGAACCCAGAGTATCTTCACAGTCGTGGCAGAGAATACAAGTGGCTGCAAATGCATTAAGGTAAAAAGCACCCAGCCATTACTACTAGATCAACTCCCCCCATGCTCAGTTTGGCTATTGAGAGTGAAGAGAGGAATAAGAATTCCAGCACTGTGATGTGGCAAGAAGAGGAGTGGACCACAGCCCCCTTATTACCTGGATTTTCTGGGCAAATTTCCTCTATTCCTTTTAGTAATATGCAGTAGTGTGGTCCTATTTGACTATGCTCTTAGACCACTGATAATTAAGTTCATCATTAAGAATCAAACCTCAGGCAATGACACAGTGATGTTCTTGCTGCTGACATGCTGTCATATTTCTCTTTCAGCCAAGCTGGTGATCCGTTGGGTGGATATAACGCAACTGGAAAAGACAGCCACCCTGCTTCTTCCCGACATGATTAAAGCCAGCACGCGGTCTAGTGAACATTTCTTCTCCGTCTTTCTCAACATCACAGAGACATTCAAACTAATGGAGCAACTTGCCAACATAGCTATGAGGCAGCTTCTGGACAACGAAGGCTTTGAGCAGGACCGATCTCTTCCCAAACTGAAAAAGAAATCGCCCAAGAAAGTATCTGCCCTAAAACGGTGAGTGAATATATTTATGAAGACGTTTGCTGCACATGTCCTTTCTGCAAAGTACGCTTGCTGGGTCGGTGAAATAGAGTACAGTTAAAATAATGAATCTTGATGAACTGACCCCATGATTCTGTTGTATTGTTAACATCCGAGTTCTTCTTTAAATGATTCGCTTCTAACTTATTAAACTACTAGTATAAGTTAAAGGCAGCCATACACGTAGCAATTTGTGATCGACATGTTTCCGCAATGGCAAACAAGTGACTTCTCAGTAAAATTTTGAATGCAACACACACATTGTTTGGTCCTTTTTACATTTCCCATTTATTTTCACCTGGTGTTTCAGCAAGTAACACAATTCTGGCTTAGGCCCCGTTCACACCTGGGCGTTTTGTAGCGCGTTCTTACGCTCTGCAAAACGCTCAAACACCGAAATCCCATTATTTCCTATGGGTATGGTTCACACCTGGGCGTATTACAGGCCGTGTGAACGCGCTACAAAACGCTCTACGCCCAAAGAAGTACAGGAGCGTCTTTGGGGCGTATATTTGCCGCGTGTATCCATTGGGATACAGCCAGGTAGCCCTCGGAAACGCGTGTTTGTAAAACAAATGCAGCCACATCTAAGCATTGGCATGCTGCAATATATTAACCCCTTCGTGACTGACGACGTACAGTGTACGTCGCCAGCATCGGGGCTGTTTAAACAGACTCCTGGCGACTTTTGCCGCCGGGACTCTGTTTAAACTTGTAGAGCCGACTGTCGGCTTTACAACAGAAGCGATCCTGGCGACTTACCTGTCGCCAGATCGCTTCTGCGTCCCGAAGAAGGGGCCGCCCCCCCCGCCGGACACCCCCGCCGTGCTTCCCGGGCTCCGTTGCCCCTCCTACGGGCCCGGGACCGGCGATCTTTGTGTCCGCGGGGAGCTGGGGAGGAGGTCGACGAACTTCCGTTCATCGATCCCCTCCCCGTTCTATGGGACCGGGAGCGATGCAGATTGCATCACTTCCGGTCCCTGGGCTGTCAGTTCTGGGCTCCTGCAGCCCAGCTATAAGCTATTGAAGTGCGATCTGCACTTCAATAGCTTATTTCCAGTGTAAAGGTGACACTGGGGGTCTTTTGGACCCCCAGCATCACCTTAAAGAGTACCTGTCACGACCATCTGCTATCACATGGGGGGGCTTGTAAGCCCCGCTATGTGATAGCAGCCAAAGTTAAAAAAAAAACAAACCCTTTTTCAATTAAAATTAAATAAAATCAATCTAATAATAATAAAAAAACATTTTTAAAGTCCCCCGCCCCCGCGAGCACGCGCGTCGCCACGTAAACACGCGTCGGGTGCGTCTACGTATGAAAACGACGAACGCGCTACACATGTTGGGTATCGCCGCGCACGCCGGAGTGAGAGCAATAATTCTAGGTCCAGTATTTTGGAGTATCTCTAAATTGATGACCTGTTTAAAGCGTCTTCTTTTGACTTTTTGGGGTACTGCAGTTTTTCGCCGTTTCGCGGACGCACGCAATTTGTAACCTATGCATGTTGGGTATCGTTTTACTCGTTGTAACCTCATCTTTTATATGTCATTTAAAAAATTGGTATTTTGTTGTGTTTTGGGGCATTAAATTAAATTTTTTACTAAATGTTTGGGTTTAATAAGGAGTTGCGCTAATATTGCGCAACATAAAAATTTGCAACTACCACCATTTTATTCTATAGGGTCTTGGCATTCAGAAAATATATAATGTTGGGGGGTTTTAAGTCATTTTCAGGCCTAAAATGTGGAATATAACATGGGTGCAAAAAATGAAAAAAGGGCCTCAGTCATGAAGGGGTTAAATGTTTGCTTTTGTGTTTAGATACACTTTAAGTATCATCCGTTTTGGTGGTAGTGCTGCAAAAAATCTGCATATTTTATATAACCCCTTTTGTATACACCGGGCCCTTCCTAAAACCTGTATTGACTTCACATTTACTCAACTGACAAACTGGTTTGTTTTTATATTGCAGGGATTTAGACGCTCGCGCGAAGAGCGAGCGATATCGTTCCCTCTTCCGCCTCCCCAAGGACGAGAAGCTGGATGGACATACAGACTGTACCCTGTGGACACCATTCAGTAAAAGACATATTGTTGGCCAAATGTTTGTTTCCACCAATTACATCTGCTTCACCAGTAAAGAGGAGAACCTGTGCAGTCTAATCATTCCACTGAGAGAGGTGCGTCTCTGTGTATTTCTACAGTGATGACAGTGCACAGTCCCTCAGCATTGACCTTTTTTGAGCCATCCATGTAATTTGGTTCTTCACCCCCTCCGTCTAGAAATGAGTCATTTTACTGAATTTTCTGGCCCATTTACTGCGAGTCTTAGGCACTAATTTATGCACTTTTTCCGTGCCGGTTGGATCTAATTATATTTCCTTCATTAAGCAAACAGCTAGAAAGCGATGTAAACATTGATAAGCTGCAGCCCTTCGCCACCTCCCTCGCCTGCAACCTGTTCATTGTCAGCAGATATGTCGGAATGGTTCTACTCGGTTGTTATTTTAATTAAAAATATGAATAATATTCCAGAGAATGGCTGTTAAACTGGCAAATCCTGGAATTTATGCAGCTCAGGGCATAATGACTATAGCCCCTCCTTTGCTAGCATAGTCCTAAACGCATTTGTTTAATTATCCTTTTTGAATGCCATTCAAACACACACAGGAAACCTTTTTACATGACCTTTTTATAAGTAAGGCATTCAAAATTGAGAATGATTTACTAAGACCAATCAGATTCTACCTTTCATTATCAAAGTTTAACTGAACAAGTGGAAGAGAGAAGCTGATTGGTTACTATGGGCAACTGCTCCAGATTGTCTGTTCCAGTCTTAGTTGATTCCCCCCAAATGTTTTCAGTTATAGGCATTTACCAACATTTGAAATTGTCTGCATTCTATGTCTCCCAGCCAGGACATCTAGCACCATCACCACCTACCACTGCTGTTCCAAGGGTTCTCACTCTCTCTGTTGCTGATTTTTGTGTATTTTCTTGTTTTAATTTATGGAGAATGCTGCTGGAGGAGTACATTTTTTTTTACCTCCAAGGCAATACAGAAGAAACCAGTAGTTTAAGCCAGCTATACCGTGTACACATTTCTGCCAGGTCTGGATGATTTGGCTGAAATTGGCACAGTGGTTAACCCTGTCACCACCAGTGACATGCGGTACCTCGTGCTCTGGGTGAGGCATTCCCCAGCCTCGCCCTGAGCCCATCCCGCCCTGCCCCCGCCGACCGAAACTCTGCCCCCACCAGACAAAGCTGCACCCCCAACTCGTCCCCAAGCTAGTGTAAAGGAGAAAGGGAGGAGGAAGGGAGGAGACAGGGAGGAGCCTTCCTGTCCCTCACTTGCTCCTCACACCATTGATTCTGACCTATCTCCAACTCAATTGGCAGAAATGCAGCCCCAGACTTGCAAGGAACCTCCACCATACTTAACTGTTGCTGCAGACGCTCATTATTATACTACTCTTCAGCCCTTCGACAAATAAACTGCCTCCTGCTACAGCCAAATATTTCAGATTTTGACTCATTAGTCCAGAGCACCTGCTGCCATTTTTCTGCGGCCTTGCGGCAAAAAAGCCATACCTCCGATGTGGAAACAAGGCTAAGCGACTCAACTATGTACGAAAACATAGGAACTGGGGTGCAGAAAAATGGCAGCAGGTGCTCTGGATTGATGAGTGAAAATGTGAAATATTTAACCTTATCTGTAACTTTGGGTATAGATAGTAAGGAGCAATTTTTTAAAGCAGGGAAATTTGACATTAACCAAACATTAACTGCAGACAAATCTTTTAGGTGCATGTGCTTAAATGATAGTGATTGATTTAACACCAGTAAATATTTAGTGAAGTCACTGTTTTTTGAATATGCCCTCAAGACTCACACTTAATTGGATATTAAATATTGGATATTGTTTGTAGGATTTTTTATTTTATCCCAAGGGATTTTACATTGCAATACCGCGCGGCAACTGTGAGGCACATCATAATGCACGGTAACACATTACAGTGCATTATGGCGCCGTGTTTATATGGACATTTCAGCCCATTCATTTGAAAAAACTGCCTTAACGTAAGGCAAGTTAACGCAACGCAGGATAACACTGCACCAGGGCAAAGGGTGTGAATCAGGCCCTTTTAAAAATGTTGACAATTGAGAAATAAAAATGTGTTTGGTGAAAGGCTTAGCTAGATACTTGGTAAACAAATGATGTGTTACATTTTCTGTAGGTGACTATTGTTGAGAAAGCAGACAGTTCCAGTGTCCTGCCGAGTCCACTGTCTATCAGCACAAAGAACAGAATGACTTTCCTATTTGCCAACCTGAAGGACAGAGACTTTCTTGTGCAGAGGATATCTGATTTCCTGCAGCAAACTACCCTGAAAATGTACTTTGATAAGGACATATCTGGGAGTGACAGCAGCATGGGTGAAGAGGTATGACAGCACATTGCGGAAAAAAGAAGGCTCATGTAGTCCACTATGTTGCAGTTGTTTAGATTATGATAATGTTCCCTACTCTGCATCTGCTTTCACACATCCCTAATCTTTATACTGATAATAAAGAGCTGCCTGGTAGCCGTGTCCTGGTCTAATGTGTTTAATTCATTTCTTTTAGGTTTATTCCAGAGCTAGCAGCTTTGTTTCCTGCAGTCCTCAGCTGAGACTCCAGACAGAAGTAGATGGTGACCGACCATTAAATCTTAATGGCAATAATGCTCCAACCGCCACCCAGACCTTAATGACAATGTATCGCAGGAGATCACCGGAGGAGTTCAACCCTAAACTGGTAATTATATAGTTGCCCCAAAGGAGTGGACTCCAAATTGTGGGCCGGATAACGCCCTTTGCCTGCCTTTATCCAGCTATCGGGGGAATTATTCTTCCCTGTGACACAAAGGGCCACTATTTCTTTCACTGACACAGTGGGGCATAATTCCTTTTTTTGACACCATCGATGGGCACAATTCCCAATATTGACCATTGATGTGGCAAAAAAACTCAACATTTTTCCTTGCATGGATACCAACAGTGGGGCATTATCCCTCCTCCCAAATACCACATGAGCTAGGTAATTTTTTTTTTTTACTTCCACTGATCACCAAGCCTGATCTCCAACTGGCCACAGTCTGGCCCTCCTAAAGTCTGGAGGACATTGAACCAGCCCTTTTTTAAAAATGTTGTGTACCCTGCCCTAAAGGATAGCATTGTATCTTAACGCCGCAAATCACTATTATTTTTCTTGCCAGACTGCACTTTCCCAGATGCCACATTAAAATGTGCATAAAATGAATTGGTAACTTTTTTTTTGGTAAACGAGGCTCTAAGGTCAGTGTTTATTTTCAGGAGAGAGGGTAGTAAGTGGTTGAGTTATAGGACATGGGGTGATCTAATAATCACACATTTCTTTCACTTACATTTCAATACTGTAATACTCTAATTTTCTTATAAAACAATACATGTTGGGGACCTGGATACCTTCCTGTGAAATGCCAGCAGATCTGCTACAGTGCTTCTTTTAAACATCTGGATCAGAGTCTTGTTTTCTCTACTGAGGGTTGTTTTAACAAAGGGTTAAGAGGGCAACTATCTCATCAGGGCACCTGGATAAGGGCCCACCAAGAGAATCTGCAAGGATTGCATTTAAGCCCCTCTGCCACACACGCTTTATGGGGAAAGTGAGAGCCCCTTGCTTTAATGATACACCATCATCTTTCAGTTTGAGATCAATATCATCCTAAGGGCCAATTCACACTAGCCTCTGCACTAAAAGTACAGCAGCTGGGGTGTGTTGCCTGACACAGTGCTGATGTGCCAATCCTGGCGCATGGCAACTGTGTACTTTTTTTCTTTTTATGCTTAAAACTTTAAAATTTTAAATGTTATTCAGTTCATTGTGCACAGTGCATCACATCCTGCTGCGCTGAAAAAAAAGTACAACATGCTGTACCTTTTTCAGTGCACACCACCACATTTCCATTGCAACGTGGTGGTGTGAACCCGAGCCTGTCCGTGACTAGGCAATTTGCTTTGTCTTGTGCTGGGGCTGCACTGGAAACAACTGCCAGTGCAGTCCCAAAGCATATGGGTGGGAATCGTCACTAATAGTCAGCCAAATGAATTTATACAATGTTTAATCCAACTCTTTCCAGTCCTACTCGCAAACCAAAATCAGTCTGGGTGATTCCAAAAGAAACAAACTAAAATATTAGGGATTTGAAGTTGTTTGCAATGTGAAAAACATCTTGTATGGAAAATGTGGTAGAATTAGGATCTAACTTTACTATTTCTCTAACCCTATGTAACGTAACATTTCCCCTAGAGGCTCTGCTGAGCAAACCAATCAGGCTTGTACCCAGACCTGCCAGAAAACTAAAGGCATACACTCCCTTTGGACTTCTCCCACCATTTCTTCTACATTTACCCCACCCTACCTAAATCCCCTCCTAATCATACCATCACCTCTTTTCCAAATGGTACTGGAAAGTACTGCACACCTGAGTATGGATCTTCTCTACAATCTCTTCAATTATAGCAACATCGTGTGTCCTCCCTCAATTAGCAGTATTTGGTAGACCCCACAGTGGAAATAAATCTGAATAAAAAGAGCATTCATTATAAATTAAAAAATTGTGGTTCAGCTTTGCACACTTCTTTCTTTTGTAAAAGGCCAAAGAGTTTCTGAAGGAACAAGCATGGAAGATCCATTTTGCAGAGTATGGCCAGGGAATCTGCATGTACCGCACACAAAAGACAAGAGACCTGGTGCTGAAAGGGATCCCAGAGAGTATGCGTGGAGAGTTATGGCTGCTCTTCTCTGGTCAGTTACAGTTTAAACTTGAATTACTGATTAGTAAACATCTAGGCCTGTAAAGGCATAGTCTTGCAGTTCTTTATTACCTGTTCTATATTACCAGGTGCTATTAATGAAATGACTACTCATCCTGGGTATTATGAAGAGCTGGTCGAGAAGTCAATGGGTCAATATAACCTTGCCACAGAAGAGATTGAGAGGGATTTGCATCGTTCCCTTCCAGAACATCCAGCATTCCAAAACGAAATTGGGATCTCTGCCTTGAGGAGAGTCCTCACTGCTTATGCCTTCAGAAATCCAAACATTGGATACTGTCAGGTAAATTTAAAATGTACATTTCACAGGGGACACTGGGATTAGAGCAAGTGCAATGTGTTTGGTAGTTTGTACATTACTATAGTAACACAGGTGTCCGTACCTAAGCCATGGGTTTGCTTACAGCATGACGTGTTATAATATACACTCACTGGTCGCTTTATTAGGTACACCTCTTCAACTGCTCGTTAACACAAATATTTTATCAGCCAATCACATGGCAGTAACTTAATACATTTAGGCATGTAGACATGGTCAAGCCAAACGCCAGCATTGGTTGTAAATATCCTACTTAAAATTCTTATCAGATTTCACTTGTACCTCGCATAGCTGCTTGTACACATTAGTAGGTTATCAGTGCTTCCTGTGTAATCACGTATGGAAAGCAATTCAACAAGTTTATAATATAGCTCTGTCAGTGGGTGTCTGTAAAGGAGAGTCAGCAGTTTTATCTCAAACTTGGTTTCCTTTATGGTTCATTTTCCATTTTATTTGATGACTGAAGCAGAATAATTCAGCAAATATTTAAGTCCATGACCCAGTTGCAATTCTAAAGAAAAAAAAAAAAGTCACATTGGCTGAGAACTATAGTAGACATTTTGTTGTTCTATTTCTTTCTATCCGTATCTCTTTTTATCTTTCCACTTGAACCTTGATGTGGAATGCCTTGTGATAATAAGACACCCACACACATTATAATCTGTTTATATAATTCACTGCATATAGTTCAGATTGATTATAATTCTTACATGGGGCAACACCCGTACAATATATCAAACTACATTCATACCATATGAAAAAGGTCAGATTTGCTAAAATAGTTCAATGAACTGACTGGATTGTATCCTATGTAACAGTACAATTCTGATTTAATATAGGACTTGATACGTTTGAACAATCAGAATGTACTGTGTAGAGGGAAACCATGTGAGCATTTAGCTACAACCTTATATAGACTTTTCAGTGTTTTTTCTTTAGTTACACATGTAGGGTAAATCAGCTTGTAACTCATTTTTTGGTGTTTGTTAACTATTTAACAATCATTCTTTTGTTTATTCGTGATTATATATGTATGTAGGGCAGCCATATTTGCTCAGCACTTTTTGTTGCTTTTTGTCTGACAATAAACTGAACCATTATCCCAAAAACATAGGTGTAACATTGATTTAGCCTTTGTTATGCAACTACTTGGACTGTAGATACTGTAGATACTAAGGTTGAGTTTACTGCAGAACGGCTGTCCAGAGACTGTAACCCATATCTTTGCAGGGTATTCTGTAATCCAAGGGAACAAGATTTGAAATGTAATATTGTCGGGAATGCCGCTGTTTGCTTAAACCTCATTGCTAATATATATTTTTCTCTAACCTGTACTAAAAATGAAAGAGGCTGCCGGGTGATGTCTACATTTGCCCATCTATGTCTTTATCTTTGTATTATTGTATGCTGGTCCTGATTTGCAATCTGTTTTTTTGTAGGCCATGAATATTGTTACCTCTGTGCTTCTGCTGTATGCAAAGGAAGAAGAGGCCTTTTGGTTGCTTGTTGCTCTATGTGAACGCATGCTTCCTGATTACTACAATACAAGAGTTGTTGGTATGTTTTGGAAGAAATGTTAGGTTTTCTAATATTAGTACTGTATCTACTTTGTTTCACAACATCAAACCAAAGTGTAAGTGGTGAGGTGCCCATAGTGAGTAACCTCTACAGGCAGCTGGTATTATCTGTGAAACCAATAATAAATAACTAACAATAAAATATATGTTTTGCAGAACATCTGCAGTACCCATCTGGGGCTGAATTTGTTGGTGAACTATACAAATCATTTTGTTTCTTCTAGGGGCTCTTGTGGATCAGGGCGTTTTTGAAGAGTTGGCTCGGGATTATGTGCCTCAGTTGTATGACTGTATGCAAGATCTGGGGGTCATTTCCACGATTTCCCTATCTTGGTTCCTGACCTTGTTCCTCAGCGTCATGCCTTTTGAAAGTGCTGTGGTGGTAGTGGACTGTTTCTTCTATGAAGGCATTAAGGTGATATTCCAACTGGCACTTGCTGTATTGGAGGCCAATGTGGACAAGCTACTTAACTGCAAAGATGATGGAGAAGCTATGACTGTCCTGGGGAGGTATGTGATAGTTCTCATTTCTCTTTAGAAGATTTTCTAGAGTTCGGTACAATATTGTTCTTTTAAAATAGAATTTATATAATATCCTACCTATAAAAAAAGGTATGGAGTCATGATTTAAGACTTGTGGGTGACTGTGTCAGACAATAGTATTAGCAGTGTTTGTTATTTAGCATTCAAATGGTAAATATTTGCCTACTAATTAGTAAAAGGAATCCGGTTTTCTTTTGCTAGAATGATGAAGGTGGTTGTTGGAAGATGATTTCTTACAATAGAAATTGGTTACAGAAGTACTAGTTTTAGCATCAGCCCAGTACAGTTAGCAAGTTTTGAACTCAGGCTTGCCATATGTGACCAGCTGAATTGTGGGCCAGTGGCATCCTTTATGGATCCATTATTGAACCTCATCAGAAAAGAAAACCCATTCTTCTTTATACTACATAAAAAAGAGCCCTAAATCTAACAATACTATGCCAATACCAAACATAGAAATGGTACAGGAGCTGCAAATGGTACTGCTGCTGACTGAATGAAAAGTTGTGTCCAGCTAAGACATCGGCTTACTACAAAACAGCCTGCATATTACTTCTGTGGCTTGCTATAAAATTAACTTCTCCACTTCAAGAAAACATTAAAATAGTTGGATTGTGGCAAACTTTGCATCCAGAACTTCCCCATTTGTGTATAAACAGCTTTGGTGGAGTAGGGTTTGAGCTGCAAAGATACAAGTCAACCATTTAGGTCATGGTGAGATAAATTCAGCTTCAGACATACATATGTCTATTGTGCTTCTGACATCTAGGCTGGGGGTGTTCATTTTCTTTTACATCATTTTACAATTTCCTTTTTTTTTTTCTAAAGGTATTTAGACAGTGTGAGTAATAAAGACAGCACTTTACCACCAATTCCTCATCTCCATTCCTTAATCACGGATGACACAGAGCCTTATCCAGAAGTGGACATCTTTACACTGATAGCTGCCTCTTATCAGGTATTGTGTATACAACTATGGTCCATTGTTAAATTAAACTGTTTGGTTACACATTTAAAGCTGAACTGCAGGTAATCAGCTAAATACACAGCTGAAATGCATGCAGGAGAACGGTTTTACTTGCCAAAGAGGATGGAGGATCCAGAAATCCATCTCAGACAACATAGCCAGATCATTATTCTATTCTGCAGTGGCAGCACAGTTTGGTCAAAAACACACGCTCATTATACTGATTGGTCGAACTGTCTGTAAGAATGTTCACACATCAGCACAAGTGCACTACAGCAGACCCTGATTGGCCCTTAATATTTCCCCTCCTTGTCCCAGAGTAAGTGCTGCTATGCAGAGTACTGCACATTTACAATGTGTTTTTTATCACTGCAGAAATTTGGAACTATATGGGCAGACCTAATAGAGCAAATGAGATTTAAACAACGGCTTAAAGTGATACAGACACTTGAGGATACTACAAAACGAAATGTTGTAAGTACTGCTTTACCATGTGTTGATCTTAACAAATTAGTTTTCATTTCAAATATGAGGTCTTTAGTTTTGTATGTTTAATTTTATTGATGATGTATAAAATAAATATTTCCCTTTTGAGCTTCCCAAGTACAAACCACCATGGCCGCTCTGCTGCACAATGTTTGCAGTGTGCCTGCCTCCCCCTTTCCGGCCTGAGTACTACAGGTTGCTAAGAGCCAGACTAGAAGATGTGTAAGGGCCGTACACATGTACCTGCCCAGCCCTTAGCAACCTAGGACGCACTTTGCCAGCGTCCTGCCGAGCTCCTGGCAACTAGTGGCAACGTCACTGGTTTCTAGGAGCTCGGTGGTATGCCAGATAGTGCTTCCCAGGTTGCTAAGAGCTGGGCGGGAGATGCAGAGGCCTTATACATCTAGCAGTGTCACTCTACCCTGCCCCCTACCTGGCTTGCACAGGATTTTAGGTTAGTGTAGGGAACCTTAGCTAAAGTGGAAGGTGTATGAGTGTGTTGTCACCAGGCCTAAAGAAACACTTTCTGCACCTAGGGAGGGGAAGACCATAGAGCCTTTAACAGGCAAAGATAGAAATATTTGGCCTGTACTTTTTAACGATAACCTAGATGATGTTCCAAGATGTAATTAATATGGCACATAGGAGGTTTTTCTATGGGACCGACACTGGAATCCATCCTGTGGGTAGATAAAAAAAGCACTGTCTAAGCAGATTTTGATTTTGTATGCACACAGCTGCCTATTTTGCATCTTATCTGACGTTTATGGAATTAAAAAAGTTAAGAAAAGCTTTGACGAGCCAGTTGATGAAGCACAAATCATTTATATCAGTAAGGCAATGGTAAATGAAATAGATGAGTATTTTGTCTATTTTCTGCTTGCTAAATGTGCCCTAGTCTATAAAAAGTAAGACTTTTTTTAGGTCTGTTAGTTATTACACATTTAAAAATCTTTGCAAAATATAATCATCATAGAAATAGGGCAGGCTGGGTGTTTATTGAAGCTTCTGCCCACATTTTTGTATAATCTGTGGGAGATCCTTACCAAGCTTCTGTTTACATACTGGAAAAAGCACGGAATATTCTGTTTTTATATGGCATATGCTGTATTTTTCTGAAAAGATTGACAGCACCTGGATTGTATACAGCTGAGTAATGAGACTAATCATAATTAATTGCCTGATTAAATGAATTAAAATTAGAACAGAATATTTTTTGTTTGCTAGACTTTGCACAGTGATGAGGGAACTAATTTTAGCAGCCTTTTAACGAGCATATTAATTTTCCGCTGACTTCATTCTGTGTTCTGTGGAAAATAGCATATTTTGCTGCAGTTATACTGACATTTAAAAATGTTGTTCCTATAGGTCCGTACTATTGTCACTGACACTGCTTTCACAATTGATGAGTTGGAAGAATTGTATGCACTTTTTAAGGTATGGATAGAATATAGCTTGTATCTATTGTATTCACTGCATTTCAATCCAGCAGCTGCTCATTAGGTTAAATGTGGTGCATTTTTTAGAAGCTGTGGCTTTCCTTTGTGGCTCTTGGCTTCCCAAAGTCACTTATATTACCTTATGCTTTGCCTTTTTAAAATGTACTGTATGGCCAATGCTTGTGAACACCTGACCTTCACACTTATGACCTTGTTGAACACCCCATTCCAAAACCATAGGCATAAATGGAGTTGCCCCCACCCCACCTCTAATAGGCTATAATGGCCTCCACTCCTTTGGGAGAGCTTTCCACAAGATCTGATTGTCTATGTGGGAATGTGTGACCATTGAGCCACACTGAGGTCAGATACTGATGTTAGACAAGATGACCTGCCGAGCATTCTACTTCACTCCAAGGTAATAGGGTTGAGGTAAGGGCCCTGTGCAGGCCACTTGAGTACCTCCACACCAAACTCCTCAAACCATAATTTTATGGAGCTGGGTTTGTGTACCATTGTGCTGGAGAGGTCTTTCCCCAAATTGTTGCAATGGTTGAAAGTTCACAATTGTATAAAATGTATTCCTATTCTGTAGTCTTTAACTGTACCTTTCACATACTGTAAAGCACCTGAATGCAATCATTTGTCCACCAACAGTGTAATTGTCCACCAACAGTGTAATACAGTATAGTGTAATTCAGGTAACCAAACAAATTGTATAGCGGAAAGCATTCAAATATATTGCAAAAATGCACCACAACTGAGAGAGGATTTTAGAATTTCAGTGTAAAATCATTAAAATTAATTGAGCGTCAGTCTTAGATCTTGTGTATGGAGGCTGAATTAAATGTTGCAACATGTGTTAGTCTATGTTCTAACATATATGGAGGGGAATCTATAAATGGTCTTATCTCCTAGAACGGTGGTTTTCAAACACCAGTCCGTGGACTGCTGTGAGGCTGCAGTTTCTTTACTGCCGGGCTATGGCTTCCTGCCCTGTCTTTTGGGCACTGGCTTCCCAACCCAGTCTGCCCCTGGTCCCAGGGCCCAAGGGGCCTCAGGATTCAGGGAGAAGCGCTAGGCTGGGAAGCAGATGAGGCTGGTGCCAGTGCAGTTTGTTCATGCTGCCTGTCTATTCAGATCTCTGTCAGAGTATTTGCTGCGAGACCTGACGGTTGAAATTAATGTAACTTGCGGTCCTGCAGTTCATGAAGTGTATTATGTAAACACAACCCATAACCAGTCAAGACACTTTGAAGCTGCAGCCAATCAGCAAAAAGCGGACATTGTCACATGACAGCATCAGATAGGGGGGTTGTGGGTGTTTTATTCATTAATGGAGAGTAAGAAAAAATTAGGTTGAGAGAAAGAAAAGGGAAAGGACGAGAGAGGGAAAGAGAGAATGAAAAAGAGAGCGAGCAAAAAAAAAAAACCAAAGCAAAACAATCGAGAGAGAGAATGAAAGGGAAAAGGAAAAAAATACACCGCAAGAATGAGAAAACAATGAAGCTTTAAATAGGCTTAATATTTTTTTGTCATTTTGTTCATTTAAATTACAACTGATACTGATTACTTCCTTTTTAATACATTTTAAATACAAAGTTTGTATTTCCATACTTTCTTTTTTGTATGAGTAAGTTGTTTTTTTTTTTTTACTGTTGGGTCATAGAAGGTTTTGAAGAATTTACAGGGTTCTGGTCTGACTCGGGTTGAAAACCACTGTCCTAGGACAAACATGGTTTTCACTGACTTTAAATTCAAGTTATAATGCTTTCATATAATTTTGATATTTGATAATGTTCCTTTTTAAATTGGCTCGGTAAATAAAACTTGCTAGAACATACACCTAATTTCACTTGCTAGTAATATTATGCTGTGTCTGGTACATTTATTTTTTGTTGCTTAATACAATGAGCACAACATACATAAAAATAAAAATATGTAACTGTGTTAATAATCAGCTGAAATATTTTACCGTTTCAGGCGGAGCACCTGACTAGCTGCTACTGGGGAGGTAACAGCAGCTCCGTTGAAAGTCACGACCCCTCCCTTCCCTATCTTGAGCAGTACCGCATAGACTTCCAGCAATTCAAAGGCATGTTCATACTCCTATTCCCATGGGCAAGTGGCGCACACACAGATGTCATGGCTGTCCGTCTCTTTAGACTCCTAGATGAGAATGGGGATTGTTTGATCAATTTCAAAGAGTTTGTCTCTGGCTTAAGTGAGTATAAAAATATATTTTGAATAAGGTAATTGAATTCCTGTGACCATAGGAGTGTGTAGTGTTGGCTGGCTGTAAAACTTTTTAGAGGATAATATATTATGTAATGACAATAATAACAAACAATAAGCTAAAAAAAAAATTGTAATACAATCAATCAAAGGTAAAGAGGTTGTGTAGGCAAACATTATACCATTTTAGGATGATTCCAAGGGGTTCATTTTGTAGGCAAATAGATGTTTCACGGAAGTGTAGATTTTCACTGTGTACACAGTTCTCTATGCATGTTGATCGCAGGGCTAAAGTCATGTTAGCCTTCCCGCTAGCAGTGATATAATATGTGGAGACAGCTTGTACAAAAACTTCTGTGGATAAAAGAAAGCTACTCTGTTATTAGGTTATATGTAGCCTATTAATATTGAAATGGATCTGAACCACAACTGGGTTCACACAAGATGTCTGCTGCTGTTTCTAATTATGTCGTTTTGCGGTGCACCGGAGAAATCACAAACACAGGATTAAGGTTTATGACGCATCTATGGACTCAAAAGCTGCTTTTACCTGGTCTCGAGCATTGAACTCGTCTGTGACCCCCCTTGGGACTCCTATGGCATCTATGTACACATGTGGGTAATGTGGCTACATGTGCGGTGGATGAGTTGTACCAGAACGTGGTCTGTGACTTGTCATTTCATGATAGAGCACCATTGCAGTTTGTCTTTGGAAGCTTTACACCCCTTTTTAGCCAGATATGTAAGCAGACTCTGCGCAGTTTCTTCAGCCAGGGGCAGGGTGTCAGCACATAAGATCATGTCATCTACATACTGGAGCAGGGCTACAGTTTCCTCACAGGCTCTCTTAGTCTCTGCATGCAGTTGTGCTGGAACATGCTGACTTCTCATTTGCGCTCTTAGCTCCTCAGCTTGCCTCTGCAGCAGGATCTTCTCTGACTGGAGCTTCTCACTTTCCCGTGCAAGGCTGCTGTTCCTTACTTTCAAATCATTCAGCTCTTTCCTCAACATGTCCAACTTGGGTTCAGACCTCCTCTTCTCCTTATTTGCAGCTTCAAATTCATCTCTGACACGACTCAGCTCCTGTTCAACATCTTCTAATCTCCGAGACTTCTCATTCACCTCATTAGTTAAAAGGCATTGCATGTTTTCAAACTTGTCAGTAGTGACAGCCAACTTCAGCTGCTCTCCGGCCTCTTGGACCCTTCGCTCTGCTTTTTTGCTTCTCCTCACAAATGGCTAGCTCATCTTGAAGGCGCCTGTTGTCCTTACGCAAGCATGCGTCCTCCCTGCGCAGTTCCTGCCCCAGGAAGCTCATTGTGATGCAGCTGGATACTCAGCTTCCCAACTTCAGCAGATGCTCCCTCATATTTGCCCTTTACATCTCGGAGCTGTTCCTGTAGTTCCTCAGCACGTGAGCTGCCACTTAGAGCTTCCTGGGTCAGGTGATCCTTCAGGGCCAAGAAGTGTGTCTGCATCTGCTTCACTTTGCTCTCAGAATCCAGCATCCGCTTCTGCACATCACGGAGCGCTTCTTCCAACTGCCGGATCTGTTGGTCTGACTCCGCTTTGCTCCGATCTCTTTCAGTGGCCAGAGCTACACACTCAGAAGATCTCCTTGACAGCTCCTGCTGCAGCCTCAT